TAATGGAATAGTTTAGGTTAGATGGGCTTCAGATTGGTTTCACAGGTTGGCGCAACATTGAGGGCCGAAGGGCCTGTACTGCGCTGTAATGTTCTATGTTCTATGTTCTATCCTTGTAAATCTTTTCTGAAGCCTTTCAAGTTTCACAACATCCTTCCTGCATCAGGGAGACCGGAACTGAACGCAGTATTCCAAAAGTGGCCTAACTAATGTCCTGTACAGTTGCAACATGACCTCCCAACTCATATACTCAATGCACTGACCAATAAAGGCAGGCATACCAAACGCCTTCTTCACCGCCCTGTCTACCTGTGACTCCACTTTCAGGGAACTATGAACCTGCACTCCAAGGCCTCTTTGTTCAGCAACATTCTCCATGACCTTACCAATAAGTGTATATGTCCTGCCCTGATTTTCCTTTCCAAAATGATGCACCTCACATTTATCTAAAATTAAACTCCACCTGCCACTCCTCGCCCCATTGGCCCACCTGATCAGGATCCTGTTGTACTCTGAGGTAATTTTCTTTGCTGTCCACTGCACCTCCAAGTTTGGTATCACCTGCAAACTTACTAACCCTACCTGCTATGTTCACATCCAAATCATTTATCTAAATGACAAAAACCGGTGGACCCAGCACCGATCCTTGTGGCACATCACTGGTCACAGGCCTCCAGTCTGAAAAGCAGCTCTCCATCACCACCCTCTGTCTTCTATCTTTGAGCCAGTTCTGTATCCAAGTGGCTCGTTCTCCCTGTATTCCATGAGATCTAACCTTGCTGACCAGTCTACCATGAGGAACCTTGTCGAATGCCTTACTGAAGTCCATATAGATCACATCCACCACGCTGCCCTCATCAATCCTCTTCGTTATTTCTTCAAAAAACTCAATCAAGTTAGTGAGACACGATTTCCCACGCACAGAGCCTTGTTGACTATCCCTAATCAGTCCTTGCCTTTCCAAATATGTATAAATCCTGTCCCTCAGGGTTCCCTCCAACAACTTGCCCACCACTGATGTCAGGCTCACCGTCTATAGTTCCCTGGCTTTTCCTTATCACCTTTCTTAAATAGTGGCACCACATTAGCCAAGCTCCAATCTTCCGGCACCTCACCGGTGATTATCAACGATACAATATCTCAGCAAGGGGCCCAGCAATCTCCTCACTGTCTTTCCACAGAGTTTTCAGGTGCACCTGATCAGATCCCAGGGATTTATCCACCTTATTGTGTTTTAGGATGTCTAGCACCTCCTCCTTTGTAATATGGATGTTTTTTTAAGATGTCAGTGTTTAGTTCCCCACGTTCAATATCTTCCTTCCTTCTCCACAGTAAACACTAATGCAAGATACTTGTTTAGTGTCTCCCCCATCTCCTGCAGTTCCACACAGAGGTGGCCTTGCCCATCTTTAAGGGGCCCTATTCCGTCCCTAGTTGCCTTTTTGTCCTTCATGTATTTGTAGCATCCCTTTGGATTCTCCTTCACGCTGTTTGCCAAAGCTATCTCATGTTCCCTTTTTGCTCTCCTGATTTTCCTCTTCAGTATACTTCGACTGCCTTTATACCCTTCTAGGGATTCACTCCAACTCTGCTTTCTATACCTGACATGTCCTTCCTCCTCTTTCTTGACCAAAACCTCAACTTCTCTCATCATCCAGCATTCACTGCACATACCAGCCTCGCCCTTCACCCTAACAGGAACATACTGTCTCTGGACTCTCATTATCACTAAACCTCCGTTCCTGTGCTTTAGCAGGTTGGTATGTGTTCCTCACAATGAACTGCAGACTGCCCCCATAGAGTCATCCACTCCAACTCATCCGCACTGACCCAGATATACCAATCTGATATTGTCCCGTTTTCCAGCATTTGGCCTAGATCCCTCCAAATCCTTCCTATTCATGTACCCATCCAGATGTATTTTCAATGTTGTAATGAAATGTAATGCAATGATCAATGTTCAATGTCGTATCCACCTCCACCCAAACAGCTCATCTCCCAATTCCTGAGATAATCAATACTCTCCAATAATCCAAAAGGAACAACTCCATTATCTACATACTCTCTCTGTCTTACAGTCATCCATCCTCAACACCCTGTTTCTGTCACTCTCTCTGCATCAGTGCCAGCTCTGGATCAGTGCTAGCCCTCTGAGTTGGAAGTTTGTGAATTTAAGATCCACTCTTTGACTTGAATACAGAAATGCAGCAAAGGACTGAGAGAATGCTGCTTTCAGGAAATGAAATCCTTCAAATGAGACATCATGCATGGTTCTGTGGTGTTCTCCCTGACCAATATTCTGTCTCATTCGCCCTCTATGTCTTTCTGCCCGCACTTCCCCGACTTATGTCATCCCTCTCTCCACTGCTGTCTTTGCCTCTTCCGTATCTTCTTTATCTCATTTCTATCTCTGTCAACCTCTGTCTTCTGTTTTCCTCTCTTTTAGTATTCTGTCCCTATGTATCTCTATCTTTATGTATTTTTGTTCCCCTCTTTACAATTTTTTTTGCTGTTGTTCTCGGTCTTTGAATTTCTGACTGTTTTTCACGCATTCTCCCTAGCATTTGTGTCTCTTCTCTCTGTCTCTCTCTCTCTTTTCTCCCCCTCAGTCTTTCATGACTATCCCTCATCCATTCTGTTTGAAGAGAATCTGACCCTGTTCTGCTTTGTCAAAACTGCCCCGCACATAGTAGAAAAATACTATCCGACCCATTTTTACCAACAATATCTCTGTGAGAGTGACCAACGTGGTCTGTGTGTGTATGAGTAACCAACAGGGTCTGGGTGAGAGTGACTGACGGGGTCTGGGTGAGAGTGACTGACAGGGTCTGGGTGTGAGAGTGACTGA